ATATGGGTGTCTGTAAGATGTTTAATTTGTTCTGTTTTCATCTCAGGTTTAATCTTCTATAATAATATCTGAAAAGAAGTTTTGACACTAAATCCCAGAATATACAATGTTCTGCCCCTCAAAAGACAGGATGGCTCAAGACTGAAGGAAATACACATAAACTCCCTCTCTCTCTGTTTTTTTTTTTTTTTTTTTCCATTTTTTACTGAGGGAGCATAGGGTACCTGAGTATGCCTAGCATTTCAACGAAAAGAGATTTCTCTTCCTTTCTCTTTCTGCATTCTAGAGGGTATACTCATGCAAGGAATCTAGAACTATTCTCAGGGCTTGATGATGTCTCCAACTTTCAGCAATTGATACTTGTCACTTAAATTCATGAGGCAAGAGAAGTTCACAAAATAATTATACATAGTATTTGACAAAATACAATAAATGCAACAGGAGAGATACAAAGGCAGCAAACTTCCTACAGTACACTGCAACTAGAGTAAGCTTTTAAACAAGTTCATCATTTTTCTATCACAAATACATATATGCATGCACACACACATACACAATCACATCACAGTGTTTAAACCAGTCTTTGAGGCCCTGTTAATAGCAGGCCTCCCACACACTCCTACATCTTTGCTGGAGCCTCACTCTCTTCAGCGGTCCAGCCAGATAGGTCCTCTTTTCTTTCCTCAAATTCACCAGTCTCTATTCTGCTTTGGGGCTTTCACACTGGCATTCCTTGTGCCTCAAAAGTTCTTCCTTACTACTCCTCTGCCTTGGCCTCCCCACCTAACTAACTTGATTTATCCTTCAGGCTCTGCTTCAATTTTTTCCTCAAAGAAGCCTTTCCCCACAACTCAAACTACCCTCCCTTTTCCTCCAATCACACACAGTTGGAATACGCTGCTGATCATTTAGCCAATTAGTATCTTTCTTCCCCACCAGATTGCAGGCTTAAGGAGGGCAGAGGCTATCCACCTATTCAACATTGCTTCCCCTGTGCCTAGCACAGTGCCCAGCACATAGTAGGTGGTGAATAAAATTAACAACATCCTCCAAGGATTCAAAAGATCAACTGATCAATCAATTAGGAAACTGATTTCCTAACTTTTCCACTCAAATTCAACAAAAAGAATCCCATATCAAGCTGTCAGCAGAACAGAAATACACAAACAGATGCACAGGTTACGCACTCCTTTTGGAGAAAAATTCAGAATGAAGAAAAAATTGGATTTAGATATATGTTTTAAAGTTATTATGTGCAAAACCACAAGGAAAAAAGTTACTTTTTAAAATAAGCCTTTTAAAAGTAGCCTGACATTAACACAAAACACACATGCTCTTTTGGGAGACCAACTTGCAAAGGAGGGTAAACAGTGGAGGAAACAAGAATGCATGTGATCCTCCTAGGCTATTACTGTTCCTTTCCAAAGCAAATTTATCTCCTAATGGAAGAGCATGTGCTGAACCATAAATCTAAGTATATCTGGAAAAGTACCCAGTGGTGTGACTGGGTTCTATGAACAGTATGCCCAAAGGAGGAGGCACGTGGGTCCAGGGAACAAGTCACACAATGAGCTTAGAGAGACTTCAAAAGGAAAACTGTCTGGTCAAGCCTCCTCCCCTTAGGTTACTATAGTGTTAATCAGCCTCTGGCATTCATCAAACCAAAGCCCAGCTTTGAGCTACCCATATCTAATCTAATTGCTAACTTTACAAAAGGTCCCTGAAGCAACAGCCAAGTTTTCTAAAGAAAACATCTCTCCTCATTCAGTCTCTACTAATGATTATGGAAAAAATAAACAGGAGAACTCTCTGCTAACTACATTATGCAAAAGAAAAGGATTCTGGGTAAACCCAACAGGTGCACTTTTTGCTGTGCTGTGTGACCTCCTTAAAGACACTATGCCAATGGATCCTTCCAGATACGCCCACCCTTAAAACACCCAGAGCATCACCACACCACACTCTTTAAAAAAACTGTCCCACAAAATAAAGGATGAGAAAATCTCTCCCCCACTCTAAGAGATACTGGAAACATTCCTGGTTTCAAACATATTGCCATCAAAATTTTAAATACCTACCTAGTCCATTATCCTTAAGAAAAAGTTTAATTTAAAAAAAAAGTGCCTAGCACAGTTTCCAGCATATAAGCTTTTATTATTAATAAATATTGGTTGCACAAACGCAAAAATGCTCGTTCTGAACCATCTCCACAGTTGAAGAATAGTTATAACCTTCTCAAGATATGCAGCTTTTACTTCCACAAATCGGAAAAGGGGCGGGGTGCTATTTTTAAGCCATTCTGCTAGGCAGGGCAAGGAAACAGCTGCTAATATTTGTATTCATTTTACGGCAATTTCTCAGTCTGTAAAACAAAAAGGAATGCTCAGTGAGAAAACAAAAAACCTCGTGGATACTTTGGAGCTTTGAGCTGGAACTCTCATACCCTGGTCTGCATGCAGATGACTCTGAAGGTGACAAAGGGAAAGTGTTTGCACTAGGGACTCTGATGAAGGATCTTTCACCTCTGGAATTTCAGGTCGCTGCTGGCATTCATTTGAAACCTCCCTAACTAGCTGCAGGCCAGGCGAGTCCGGCTCCCTCGCCAGAATTCGAGGGACTCTCAGAGGACCCCACAGTGGGGCGTCAGCGCCTTCCTCCCGCTGACGTCGGGGGCCCTTTGCCTTTCAAGTCACCCCAAATCTTAGCTTTCCTTGAAGTGAAAGGGCAGCTACTGCTCTCACCCATCCCCAAGAGAGGGCTGTGCCCGTACAGCAGGGGTAACAGAGTCCTATGAGAGAACTGCTATAGGAAATATTCCCGGTCTGCGCCAGCCCCCGGGGTCTCAGGAGGGACCGTGACCCCGACGCCCCAGGTGCGTCCCGACGCCGCCCTCCGACCACTCAGACAAAGGGCCGGCCCCAGGTGCGCCCACTCACCGCTCAGATAGTTGGTCCACTTGTACAGCACCCCCTCCATGGCGCCCACGGTCCCCCGGCCCCCGCCGGGCCGGGGCCGCCTGCCCACGCCCGCCGGCCCCCTCACTGCCCCAGGGCCCAGGAGGCGAGGAGCACCGGCAGCAGGGCCATCGCCCGGCGCAGCCCAGACGCCCACTCCCGGCGCCCGGGCCCGGTGCGGGGACGCCCGGCCCGCCTCACATACTCGGCGCGGGGGCGGGGTCACTGCGGCGGCCTCGGCGCGAGAAGCCGCGGGCAGCCGGTGGGCCGGCGCGGCGGGGCCGGGCGCGCTGTGCACAGGAGGCCGAGGCGCTGGGTGGGCCTGACGGGCGCCTAAGCCTTCAAATTGCCACGGACCAGGTAGCCGGTCGCGGGCGGCGCCACCGCGCGTTACCTGAGCTCTGGAACTCCCAGCCCGGCGCGCGCTCGCGCATGCCCAGTGCGCCTTACTCGCGCACGTTCCCAAAATCCACTCCGGGGCTTCGCGGCGGCCGGGCTGACGTAGCGGGAAAGGCCCGCAGGGAGATTGAGTCCTCGGCAACGGGCTGGGGAGGAGGCTGTGAGCGAGAGGGCAAGAGGGAGGCCCCCGAGACAAGTGTGGGACAGTTCTGACTGTAAATGCTGCCGTAGGGTTAGGCTCCCACCGCTGATGTGTGGAAGTCTTCGTGACCGCTAACGATACCCCCTGGGTTCTAGTCCCCAGAATCCAATTCTTATTTAATAGCTATTGAACCCCCGACACCCGAGGTCCTAGACAGTGGAGCGTGCGGAGATGATTGGAATTTCAGGATAGAATACTGTGCGGCCAGTGTAAATAGGTTTTGTCCTCCTCCTGGAAATGTGGTTCATGGACCCGGTGCGTTGACATCACCTAGGAGCTTATTAGAAATGCAGAATCTCGCTCTGAGCCCAGACTTCCTGAATCAAAATTTGCATTTTAACGAGATCCCCAGGGAATTCCTAAATCCATTAAGCTGTGAGAATGCACTGTGTTAAGGATATTTGACCGGGAAAAATGTTAACAATAGAGTAAATGGATAGAGAAGGTGAGAAAAGTGTACAATCCAAATCCAAATTGCTTCAGGTATTTGTCACAGATGCATGCAGCAAAATGTTAGGATGGTGGCGTTAGAGGCGATCTTTCTTTTTCTTTAATGTAAAGTTGCCAGATTTAGTAAATAAAAATACAGAACAATTATTTGTTATTTATCTGAAATTCGAATTTCATTCGGCTCCTGTATTTTATCTGGAAATCCTACTGCTGCCAGTTTCTTACAAATCAATGAGCACGTATTGCTTTTGAAATTAGACGAAGAATGTAAAGCTAGAAAATGTAAACTAAGATGAGGCTGTGTAATTCGTAAGCTTGATTACCATTTCTTTAAAGTGGGGCTCTGCACGTGCTTCTCCATTATTTACCCTCTGCACTAAAATTGCTAATTATTAGCAGCCGCAACGTTACGCGGTGCTGTGGAATGAATCAGACCTGCCTTGAAGGCGGAGCTCAACTGTTTCGGGGTCAAATGACCTTAAGTAAGACACTTAACCTTTCCCAGCCTAAATTTACTTATCTTTTAAATGGGAAAAAGGAACCTGCCTTACTGGTGTAGTGAGGTTCATGCTCCAGGAACGCACTTTGTGAACCCTAAAGCACTAAGTCTTTATAGTCCGTAATGTAAATTATTAAATAATAGCGGAAGCGCAGGATTATGGCATCTTCGGTGGGGGCGGGGCGCTCTCCAACGGCGAGCGTAAACAAGTCTTTCCTGAAACTCCGACGGTTTTTCTGGGTCCCGGGCTACTCCCACCTCGACTCAGCTGGGGTTCTTTACATAGGTAAGTCTGCCGGCGGAATTTCCGGTTGGCTCCACGCCCTACCCCTCTTCCAAAGTCACGGCTCGTTGAGTTCCTTAATCCGCCGGGCTCTAGGACCACTCCGCGTGGCTCGCCGCTTGGAGGCTGCCCCGCACGACCAAACTGTAAAGTACATTGTTGCAGCGTCATTGGCTGGAGAGGTGCCTGAGGGACAGCACCGCAAGCCAATGGGAGGCCGCTCTTTCCAGACAGCTGCGTTATAAGAGCCAGTCAAGCCCGGGTTTGGGTTTAACTCTTTAAAGGTGAGTTCGCGCAGTGTGGGAAAGTTGTTAGTAGTAAATGTGCCACGTCCTCTAGGAAGGAAGGGGGAGTCCTGAACTTGCCAGAGGCAAGTTGTCCCTAGCCTTCAGCTACATTCTTAACTCTATGAAGTCAAGGGCCCTTTCTCTGTTTTTGTAGGGACTTCTTTCCTGCTTCGGCAACATGAGGCTTTTCTTGTGGAACGCGATCTTGATGCTGCTAGTCACTTCTTTGATTGGGGCTCTGATCCCTGAACCAGAAGTGAAAATTGAAGTTCTCCAGAAGCCTTTCATCTGCCATCGCAAAACCAAGGGAGGGGATTTGATGTTGGTCCACTATGAAGGCTATTTAGAAAAGGACGGCTCTTTATTTCACTCCACGTAAGTAATTAAGCCCAGTTTGTAAAGTATAATAATAAAGAACCCACCCCACCCATACCAGCTCTCCAGCAGGAAAGGTAGGGTGAACCTGGTTTTACCTCTGTTTTAAAAAACTGAAATACCTTATTTCCTTCTTTGGGGAAAGGAAATTGTTTAAAGCCAATTTTATATAACGAGACAGGCCTTTGAAGGTATTATTGGAAACGTGGTCTGGATAAAGCGGTTACTTTTTTTATTATAAAAATTAGAACTAGAATTTTTGAAATATTGCAGAAATATCTAGACATATAATTATACAATAAGTAGAAAAAGCTCAAAAGAATTCTTATATCTCCAACTCCATTCCTTAGGGAAAAAATGATTTGATTCCATTTTTAATTTGGTGTAGGTGATATTAACTTAAAACTTTTCATAGCAACTCGAAGAGCAAAATACACACTTATTTGTCTGTTGAAGGATATACTAATGCTATTTCATTGACCTATTTAACTTTTGTTCTGACAGTTGACATTTTTGGTCAAGGCACAGGACCATGATTTCTGTAGTCATTTGCTTCTTTCTGAAAAGTAAGACTTCATTGATAGGGTGGGTGTGGTTATTTTACATGAAGGATTTTCAGATGGTTACACTATACTTTCTGTTCTGTAAACAAAGAAATTGTGACATGGAAAAGGTTGACAAATGTAATGATTTCCAATTAGGCATTGGTTTTCATTCATTCCATTTCAAAAATATTTAGTGAGCATTTCTTTATGTCAGGCTCTGCACTGGGTACAAAGGAGATTAAAAAATTTTGACTTTGAATCATCCTCATCTATTCATTTATCTATCAAACTCTTGTTGAATGGCCACAGGTTAGACTCTGGAAATGCATAGATGACTAAGAGCAGGTTCTTGTCCTCTACCAGTACACCATCTATGAAGGGGAGGAAGACAAGTAAATAACTCAATGATATAGAGCTGTGGTCCCCAACCCCTATTAGCAGTCGGTGGCCTGTTAGGAAACAGGCTGTGCTTCACTACCTGAGCTCTGCATCACACACACCCCCACCCATGACACCCCATGCCCCCATCCCCAGTCCTGGGAAAAATTGTCTTCCATGAAACCAGTCCCTAATGCCAAAAAGTTGGGGACCGCGGATATAAGTAAAGAATATTCAAAGTGTTACCAAAGCATAACAGAGTCTGGAATTGGTTATGCTGTGAGAGGTGGAAAAGAGAAAGACTGCTCAGAGACCATAAGTGAGATGGGCCTTGAAAGATGGGTAAAGGTTTCTAGGGGTATAAAGAGGGGGAGGAGGATGTTGCAGGTAGAGGGAATGACATGAACTAAAAACAATGAAGCTTCGTGGCCCATCTTAGACCTCATTTTTTGATAAGCTACCTTTATTGGGCATTCAGACCTGGTCTGTTGTGGAGTTTGGGGGAAGTGAATGGCACTCGTCTCTGAACTCTATTAGCCCTGGTAAAAAGTTCCAGAAAGATAGCTTACCATAGAATTCTCAAGAGCCCTTTCTTCTTGTCATCAAGGCAGGTGCCACAGTGCACGTTAAACAATATTGTGATTTGCATTTTAAATTTTTAATTACATTCTTATTTTTAGTCTGGTCTCTTTTAGGCCCAGCCTGATTTCTTTCAAGCCTCAGAACCAAAAATCTGTGCAATTTTTGGTGGTATCCATGGGATATTATTTAGCAGTTCATTACTTAGTTCTATACCTGGTGAGGAGACTGTAGTCATGCAGCCTTTACATAAATGGTGAGAAGCAACTAACTCTTCTTGAATATTGTGAAGAAATACCATCAAATGATCAGTCCATAAAGCATGTTTGCCATTTCTAGAACCATAGCCTATGCGGTAAATAGCTGTAACAAGAAATGTGCCAAAACTATAGTCAGTGCTGGGTAATAGATTGTTTCTTCCTTCTTTTTTCTTTTCTAGCCTTCCCAACTTTTCTACAGTTGGCATTTTGTTATGTCAGTCATGGGGGTATATTAAAGAAAACAGGAAAAAAAATGGCATTTAGCTGGATATAGTAACCTTAGTACCCATGAAGCCTAGTAGAATGACTTCTTATTCTCACCTACAAGATATCCTTGAATAGAACACTTCCCTTATTGCACCAAAAGAGAGCTGAAGCTTCCCAGTAGCGTGGCAGGTTGGTTTTCTTAGGCTAGCCTCTCTTTAGCTTACAAGCCAGGACATCTTGACTATTTCCTTCTTCCCTAGTCCTTGAGGGGCCGCTCTTCCAGACTTCCCTATATAGCCCCACAGTGGACCCCTGGGGAGGGAGCTGGGCCAGGGTCTGAGTGGGGATTCAGGGATGAAACAGCCTTTTCCACTCATCAGCGCCATCAGCAGGCCATAGATCAGGACAGTTTTCAAGCAAGATATAACATCCTGTGCTCCTGACTCTCCACGTTGGTGTGTTCATGGACCCACATGTGTTGGCAGTAAATTTTCCTTAGCCTCTCATCCTCCTTCCCAAACTCAGCCATTTTCCATTATTTTCTCCCTGTTCTGCAACCTAGTGGCCTTCCTGGACAGCATAACTTTGTGGTTAAGACCTTGAACTTGAGTTAGGTCAAAGACTGGCATGCTTAACCTTTGTTTCCTCATCTACAAAATGGCATAACAGTGGTACTTACATCATAGAATTGTTGTTAGAGTTAAAAGAGGCAAAAAATTTAGGATAATACCTGGTATACAGCAAATGCTCAGTTGTTAATTGTTTGATTATTATTCCCTCTGCCCTTCTCAGGCTGAGTCAACTGTGTGAAATTTACATCCAGAAAGATGGGCAGTCAATTGGAGTACTATAAAGTTGACGTGGAGGTGTGTGTGTGCAAATAAAGAATTTCTGTTTTCTTTAATTTCCAAGCTAATAAATTTAACTATTTATAAGTGGGAAAAATCCACTAAAGCAATGAAAAAAAATAAAGTTACTAAAGAGTTCCAATGTGTTTTCTTTCTATCATAGTCACAAACATAACAACGGCCAGCCCATTTGGTTTACCCTGGGCATCCTGGAGGCTCTGAAAGGTTGGGACCAGGGTTTGAAAGGAATGTGTGTAGGAGAGAAGAGAAAGCTCATCATTCCTCCTGCCCTGGGCTATGGAAAAGAAGGAAAAGGTAATAGCACTTCTGTATTTCTTACTATATAGCACTAGACTTCTTCTCTAAATTAAGAGACAGAAGTTAGAGTAACTACTAGGTATTTTTTTTTCTCCTGGAAGTAAACAGAGGGCTTGTGTTCCTTTAGGAAATATAATTGTGTCTTGATTATCAATTGAAATGACCAGTTAAAGCCATAATATCTAAATGGGCAACTAAGCTAACAATGAAACAGGTACTGGAAGCTGGCACTTTAATAATACTGTTCACCAATATGGTAGGTTTTTAAATTGTAAAATACGCATTATATAATATTTACCATTTGACTCATTTTTAAGTATATAGTTCAGTGGCATTAAATACTTTCACATTATTGTGTGACCATCACCACTATGCATCTCCAGAACTTTTTCATCCTCCCAAATTGAAACTCACCAATTTGTTTTAACAATGCAAAAATAAAGATCACTCAACATAAACGAACACTTGAAATATGGGTTATTAAGGCCTTGAATGTGTTTTAGATGTGGGCTGTATATGACTCATGGCAATGAAATCTCCCACAGCTAATGCTTATTGGGAGTTCTTTTCATTCCCATTTTAAAATTTATGTATAAAGCTTTTAACAATTTATTTTAAAAACTAATGGAGTGACATGAAATGAATTTAATTCTCCTATGTCACAAAGCAGAAGCAAGCTGGCCAGCTGATCCAGAGAGCTTTTGTGCTAGTTTGTTTCAGGGTAGGCACATACGGCTGGTGTTTAAGTGAGAACCCCTGCAACTTTCCAAAGGGCTATTTATTTGGTGATATGTATCAAGAGGCCTGAAGATGTTTATATGCATTTTTCCTATAATTCCTTTATTGGAATCTAACCTAAGGGAATAATTAGATATCAGGAGAAAGATTTTTGAACAGGGATGTCCATCACTGCCTTGTTTCTAATAGCAAAAAAAGTAGAACTGACTTAAGTGTATAATGATAAAGATTTTAGCTAAATAAAATATGGCCCAGTTATTTAAAATGGCATTTTCAAAGATTTTAAAAATTATATCCAAAATGTGTGTGATGTAATGTTATATTAATATATAAAAGTAGAAAAGAAAGCTATAGTGTATATAGTATGATAGTAAGTATAGGGAAAAAAGTATGTACACATAGAAAGTCAATCATAAGAAAATAAATAAGAATGTTAACAAGGGACTGTGATACTGAGAATCATATTTATTTCTGGTCTATCTTCCAAATTCTCTACAATGAGCATGTATTATTAATACTTATATAATGAAGAAAAAATAAATTTTGAAATCAGAACCAGACCGAAAACCACTCTGATATAGTATAAATACAGACTTCACAGCATCTGTAGGTCTTGACAACGCGGTGGGCAGGATTCCCAGCCCCAGTTTCCTGAGGAGGAAAATAGGTGCCATATGTGAAGCATTACATATTCTAAAATGGAACCAGCTCCATAAATTTTGTTCATGGGATAGGATTTACTAACCAAACTCAATTCTTATTTTAATTATAATCCTCTTTAGAGAAGAAAATCAAGTATCTGGAAAATGTTTCTGTGATACTTCAAAAGTATTCTTCTACTTTCCTGTATCTTTATTGTCTTACCTTTAACATTTATATACAGTAGTTCCCCCTCATCTGCTATTTTACTTTTTGTGGTTTTTGTTACCTGTGGTCAACAGCAGTCTCAAAATACTAAGCTATTTAATATTTTGAGAAAGAGAGAAAAGGAAGGAGGGAGGGACCACATTCACATAACTCGTTTACAGTATATTGTTGTAATTGTTCTATTTTATTATTGTTGTTAATCTCTTACTGTACCTAATTTATAAATTAAACATAATCCTATGTATGTATGTATGTATAGGAAAAAACATAGTATATATAGGGTTGGGTACCATTCACGGTTTCAGGCATCCACTGGGAGGCTTGGAATGTATCCCCTGCAGATAAGGGGAGACCACTATAGGTAGTATTAGTCCATTACTCTTTCTGCATACTATATTTATCTCAGTTTTACTTCATCATAATTAGAGATCTAAATTAGAGTCATTTCCTTCAAACTGGAGTGCCATGAAACTAATTCTTCTAATACGTATTTAACACCAATTTTGTAGTCTTTTAGTACACGCTTGCATGCCTCCTTTGGGAAGATACCAGTTTTATCAATGACCTAGTGCATGTCCCTTCTCTGTCTAGATCTGGAATGGTAAGCTTCAGCACACAACGTAAGTGTTTTTCTTTTTGGAACTTACAAATGCTCTTTCATGAAAATATGTGAGATGAGGAGGTGACTAAGAAATATTCAACATGTTTACCCAGACCTATATGTTAAATATAGTTATAAGGAAACAAGTTTGAAAAAAACTATCCATACTTCCCAGATGGTTTAGGTTTGTTTTGTTGTTGTTGTTTTTTTAGGTCCCTGGGACTTTAACAAAGCTGGTTTGTTTTTTTTTACTTTTTAAAGAGTTTTTCATCTCCCTTCTCAGAAATTTATTTTAATTGCTCCCCTCCTATGAAATGTCTTCAACATATGTATAATGTTCTATACTAGCAGAGGTGCTTTCTAACTTTTTGAACTTTTTTAACCTTCCTGCATTATTTTTAAAGCCCGTTAAAATAATTATATCTCAGTAACATGTATTGAGAGCTTGCTATTTGTGAAGTATAATGCTAAGTACTTTGCATGGATATTCTCCCATCGTCCTCCGAACAGATTCTTGAGGTGGGAAATATTATCATCTAAATTTTACAGAAGAGGAAACTGAGGCTTAGAGATGGGCAGATGTAAACTTGAATCCCAGCCAGTATGACACCAGAGCTCATTCAATTATATACTGCCTCCTGGTGGCAGAGATGGACGTACTATTCATAGGTTACTATGTAGTTTTTAGGTCAGGACTTCCTGACCCAAAAGTTAGTAAATTGCTTGTAATATAATTAACTCTGAATTATCTAAAGGCTTTTAAATCATTCTCAACATATAATATGTAATATCTTAGTTATATTTGAAATGTAATACCCAGGCTATTAGGTTCATCTCTGTATATGTATTTGTGTAATTTTTTTAAATTGTTAAGCCAAAAACGGAAAGCTTTTGCTCTGCTAGTTTGGATTATTCCTTCTTTTACTCTATTTTGCTGTTACTTGTAGTGTAATTAATTTCCATCATATAAGACAATCTTAGGAAGGTTTTTTAATTCAGCTAAAAAATATTTTTTTCAATTGCCACTAGTTTTCTATTACTAAAACTTTTGATCTTTTAAATAAAACTTTCCCCCTTCTCTCATCATGTCAGGTAAAATTCCTCCAGAGAGTACACTGATATTCAACATTGATCTCCTAGAGATTCGAAATGGACCAAGATCCCACGAATCATTCCAAGAAATGGATCTTAATGATGACTGGAAACTCTCTAAAGATGAGGTGACCTTCTCCCTCCCTCTCTCCATTCCTTCCTCTCACTTTTTTAGAAATATATTTAAAATTTTTATTTTTATTTAGGTGAAATGTTATTTATTTATAAGTTTTCTTAAAATGCTGATGCTTTGAAAGTTGACTTTTTCATAGGAAATCATTGTTTTGGAGAGAAATAGACTTAAAAAGCACCAATTCAGTCTTTTGCTTTTTTTCTTTCACCCCAGTGCCTAGGGCTCACTGTATCTTATCCTTACCCTTGGGTCTTTGAAGACCCATTTTGGCCAAGACAGTCCCCATTTACAGTCACTGTGTAAGTAACTAGATGTCCTGAGAAATATCTCATGTGGACAGTTTCTGTTCAAAACTGTAGACTGGGTGTTAAATGCATTTCATAGTGATTTCCTAGCAATTAACGGCAAGTAATTTGCATGCTCAGTTTTGTTCAGGTTAGCACTTGGAGTAAGGACACTCCAGCCAGGGTTTTCCATGGCAGGGGACCTTCCCCAGCCCCATCAAAGTCTGGGCCTTTGGGTAAGGAGAAAGGAAGGAGAGGTTTCTCCCTATAATTTAGGCTTTTGCAGCCATTGCTACACATACCTGCCTTAGTCTGGATGCTGTGGAGAGAGAAGTGGAGGTCGATATTTATCCCCATGTTTTTTATCTACCTGCACTCTCCATTCTGGCCTAGCTGGTCAGATATCAAGTCATTTTTTATTTTATGCTTTGATCAATTTCACCTTTTTAATGGCCAGGATATGAGGGAGTCTTGAATAAAGTAAGTCGTTATGAACCACAGGGTCATGATCCACAGCCACTACATTTATCATACCTCATAGTGTTACCAGTCATATGCCTTTTTCTTCCATCCAAGATAAATTTTAATTCCCACTCATTAAAAAATATTGAATATACAATACATTCATATGGTTCAAAAATCAACCCAGTATAAAAAGATATTTATTTAAATCTTTCTCCTACCCACATCCTCTTCTACCCTGTGACCCCCTCATCCAGCTTTATTAATTTCTTATATATCCTTCCAGTGTTTCTCTATGCGAATATAAACAAATATAAATACATATTCTTATTTTCCCCTTTCTTACACAAAAGGTAGCAAACTACTACTATTTGGCATCTTGTTTTATTCACACAATATATCCTGGAGATATATTCTACATTAATCCATAGAGTTTCATCCTTTTTTTTTTTCACAACTGCATTAAATCACTTTAACTTAAAAATAAACATACACTATCTGTTTGCATGTTGGGGGTGGGAGCAGGAAGATTTTAAACTGCTGATCTAAACAGAAGGAAGAGTGGAGATATTAGAAATGAAAATACAGGTTGAATTGTATTATGGTGAATCTAGTAGGAAATTGGGAACAGTATTTTGTTTATATTTTTAAACATCTGAATGAAAAGGGAAAATTGTAGCCTCGCCACTTACCAGGCTGGATTTTGCTTTGATTTCTGAGATCGGAAGGTTGTGTTAGGCTCGCTGAGTGTGGCATGATTATAGACAGACCCACAGCACCTACTGCTGGCAGACATTTATTCAAGTCAAAAATGCCACCATTTAATCTGGTTTTAAGAGAGGTGTTTGGAATTCTGACTCAACAGAAAAATAGATCTGGATAACTTAGTGGATTGAAAGATAGCAGTCTTTCAAATACTTGGCTTTATTTAGACTCAAAGTAAGAACACGTAGTATGCTTTCATTGGGTATTTTTCAAATAATATAAGGCTTACATTTGATATAAGGATTGTATATGTGATATGAGCTTTATCTTTAACTCTGAGCAATATTTTGTGTCTCTACTATAACAATATAGCAACAGTTTTTTTTTAAGGGAAAAGATTTCTTATAATTCTTTTATTGTCATTAGAAATATATTGCCGGGGGCGGTGGCTCACGCCTGTAATCCTACCTCTCTGGGAGGCTGAGGCGGGCGGATCGTTTGAGCTCAGGAGTTCAAGACCAGCCTGAGCAAGAACAAGACCCTGTCTCTACTGAAAATAGAAAGAAATTGGTTGAACAACTAAAAATATAGAAAAAATTAGCCTGGCATGGTGGTGCATGCCTGTAGTCCCAGCTACCTGGGAGGCTGAGGCAGGAGGATTGCTTAAGCCCAGGAGTTTGAGGTTGCTGTGAGCTAGGCTGATGCCACGGCACTCTAGCCCAGGCAACAGAGCAAGACTCTGTCTCAAAAAAAAAAAAAAAAAAAAAAAAAGAAATATATCACAAAATAATCAATAATATGTTAGGGTATACTTTACAATAACTAAAAGACTGAAATTGGAATGTTCCTAACACAAAAAAATGCTAAATACCTGAGGTGATGGATACCCCAATTACCCTGTTTTGATTAATTCACACTGTATGCCTGTATCAAAAAAAAAAAAAGAAAGAAAAGAAATATATCATAAAGTAGTTGTTTAGTAGTTATTATATATAGTTAAATGAACTACCAGTCTATGTCTGTGATATTAATTGGCTCAATGTGAGCATCTTCTGAATCAGAATTATTAACAAGATCTGTTATTTTATAGGTTAAAGTGTATTTAAAGAAGGAATTTGAGAAGCATGGTGCGGTGGTGAATGAAAGTCATCATGATGTTTTGGTGGAGGATATTTTTGATAAAGAAGATGAAGATAAAGATGGATTTATATCTGCCAGAGAATTTACATATAAACATGATGAGTTATAGAGATATGTCTACCCATTTTATATAGCATCCATCTTAAACGAGAGGGTTATCATCTTTAAAGAAAGTTTTATATTTTAACAATATTCTATTCTTGCTTTTTTTTTTTTTTTTTTTGAGACAGTCTCACTGTGTTGTCCGGGCTAGAGTGCCGTGGCATCATCCTAGCTCACAGCAACCTCAAACTCCTGGGCTCAAGCGATCCTCCTGCCTCAGCCTCCCGAGTAGCTGGGACTACAGGCATGTGCCACCATGCCCGGCTAATTTTTTCTATATATTTTTAGTTGTCCGATTAATTTCTTTCCATTTTTAGTAGAGACGGGGTCTCGCTCTTGCTCAGGCTGGTTTCGAACTCCTGAGCTCAAACAATCCGCCCACCTCGGCCTCCCAGAGTGCTAGGATTACAGGCGTGAGCCGCTGCGCCCAGCCTGTTTTTTATTTTTATATATTTTTCTGACTCTTATTTAAAGAACCCCTTAGGGTTTCTAAATACCCATTGCTTTCTGGTAAGTTATTGGGAAGAAAAAATTAATTCGAATAGAAGACTTCTGGACTGTTTTCCACTTTTATATATGAAGATTTGCTTTACTTTCTTAGTTGTCATTTAAAAATATTGCAACTGGGAACATACCATAACATGAGACCAAGTTATAGCACAAATCAGCACCCTGTATTTCTGCCTCCCTCTCTTTTCTCCAAGTTAGAGACTGACATATTTGAAAAGCCTTTTGCAATAGCCCAAAGCTTGCTATTTTCATGTTATAATGAAATAGTTTGTCTTTTACTGCCTCCAAGTCTCTGCTTGAGGACAAAAGGAAAATTGTTGGACTTTACTCGGTAATAGCTACTGCTTCACTAAGGAGATGTACAATGCTGAAGTTGGTAACAAAGTTAATAACTTATATAAATATGTATGCATTGAAACATTCTGCCTACGACTTAAGCTGCGTAAGTTCAGCTCGTAGCAACTAATGGCCTATTATGACAAATAGGACAAATCATTTATGTGTTTGTTTCTTTGTAATAAAATGTACCAAAATACTGTAGCCAAGGTAGTATTTATAGTCAACATTTACTTTTTAAGGCTAGCAGATTACTCTTCCTAGCTCTTAATGACTAAAGTCTGTAACTAATGTATTAAACTACAGTAACATTGTATTATAAGAGAAATTAGTAAACCAATCAAAATTTTCCCATTTTTGCCTCATCAAAAAGTGAGGCAAATCTACAGTAGCTATTATTGAATAGTTACCTATCCTGGGTCAAAAAATTGATGATTTTACAATTTTATCTGAAATTGGCTTTTATCCTTAATGTTTTTAAAAAGTCACAAATCTTCACTTACTAACAATAGTCCTTTATAGTTCACAAAATGACATCAAGTCCATTATTGCCTTCAATTCTCATTGCTCTGAAGTCTATGAAAAAATCTGGTGTATGTTACTGGACCTGTTTTATAGATGAGGAAATTATCATTCAAAGAGATTGATTGCAATGCCCAAGGTCAGCAGCTAACCTGTAGAACCAGTTTTCAGTCCTCAACTTCTGTTCCTCCTGCTGCCCTCTACTAATGAAAAGGTGAAATTTCTCTTTGAATTTGTTGGGCCTAATTCTCTCTTCAGTTTGTTCTTCTGTTGTTTGTCTTTGAGTCCTTAGCCTCTGAAGATGTATTACTGAGTATTTTTGGCACACTAGAATTCTCCCCGTGACCTAGGAAAGGCCCCGGTTTTATAGAATAACCTTGGGGTTAGCTCTGAATTGCCTCAAAAACCCCAAACAGTGAGAGGTTCCAGGTGTCTGTCTTAGTTCTTGCATTCCTACTTATCTACATGGGTTTTTTTGAAGACTTATGAACAATTACTACATTATATGTAGACTACTTTCACCAATTATATATTGACATTTTCCTCACCAAATCATATAGTTCATGGGAAGAATATACTATAACACCTGCCTCCAAAGAAATCAGCAACATCTTGAAAACTATTAAGTTGTCTCTGACGTTTTCCTGAACCCAGAGGAGTTATAAGCCACATTACAGAAAGTCTTCACTGTGTGATGAGGGGAAGGAAAGTAGTCTGTCCTATGGTGCTACTTTGTATAAACATTACTGATGCTATCTATATCTATAGAAGAGCAAGAAAAGTAAAAAGGATTTTGATTATTCAGGCAGCATTCTTGTCTTAATCTTATGTGAATTTGTATCACTTCTCACCTAAATATTTGTATGCATGAAATGAAAACATACACATAGACTATGGTTGTTTCTAAATCATCTGCTTTGCTTTAGCTGTGTCTTTGCACCCTTCCGTTAACGGGAATAATCAAACATGAACTGTGACTTCACACGTACAGTCACACCTCACTTCACAATGGGGATGCGTTCTGAGAAATGCATCATTAGGTGATTTCATGGTCCTGAGAACATCATAGAGTGTACTTAACAAAACTAGATAGTAGAGCCTACTATATACCTAGGCTATATGTTATGGCCTATTGCTCGTAGGCTACAAACCTGTACAGCATGTTACTATTCAGAATACCGTAGGCAGCTATACCACAATAGTATTTGTATATCTAAACATAGAAAAGGTATAGTAAAAAATATGGTATAAGCAATAAAAAATGGTACACCTGTATAGGGCTCTTGCCATAAATGGAGCTTTTGGGCCTGCAAGTTGCTCTGGGTGAGTTAGTGAGTGGTAAGTGAAAATGAAGGCCTAGGATATTACTGTACACTACTGTAAACTTTATGAACACTGTATACTTAGGCTAAATTTTTTATTCAGTAACAAATTTACTGTGAATTTGTTACTTTATAAACTTTTTAATTTTAAAAAACTTTTGACTCTTTTGTAATAATACTTAGCTTAAAACACAGACACATGGAACAGCTGGTACAAAAATATTTTGTTTATATCCTTATTCTGTAAGCTTTTTTCTATTTTTAAAACTTTTATTTTTTTTTATTTTTAAACTTTTTTTTTGTTAAAAACTAAGACGCAAACACATTAGCCTAGGCCTACACAAGGTCTGGATCATCAAGATGTCACTAGGTGATAGGAATATTTCCAGCTTTGTTATAATCTTATGTGACCACCATGATATGTGCAGTTTGATGTTGACCAAAATGTCATTCTGAGGTGCATGATTATATAATTTGACTCATTAATACTGCTCCATGTATCATATTTAAATTTTTACAACTATGTTGTATTCTTTTCAAAATAAAGTTTATTTGGGAAATAATTGGTTTGTGAAAAATTCTTCAAGTACCAATTTCTTCAGAAGTTTGATTTTCTTAACTGTTATTCTGAGTTTTATGTCAAAAGTAGGTGAGGAAGATGGACAGGTAGTGGGTGGAGAGAGGTATATTGACACTTTGAGCCTCTGATTATCTACCCTGTTTAGATATATTTGCAAAAAAATTTTTAAAAGGCTGTGCTTTGTCTTGCAAAATGGACTTAGCAAGGGAAAGAAAAAGGAAAAAAAAGCTGTGCTTTGGTTTAAATTGTTTTGAAATAAGCATTAAACCTTGAGAATTAAGGGCTATAGTTAATAGTGAATTTTTAGCACTGGAGAGAGTGTTTTCTAGAGGGGATTTTTGAGGGAGGAGGAGAAAGGAGGGTGCTTATTATTACTGTAGTTTTGGTTTGGGATTTGTGTATAACAGGTGGTCATTATGATGATTTATGCCTACTGAGTAGATTAGTGCTATAAAATACCTTACTTGATTAAATCAAATGCTGAGCTGCCATAAAAATAACAAGAAAGAATGATTTCTGATTCACATGAAGTAATTAGCCATGTGGATCTTCCCCGTGGAAATGAATTTGTACTTTCCATTTTATTCATGATGTAGAATATTGCTTTCTCTAATGCTACTTGGATATCACCATGCTATCTTTCCCCACTGAATTGAGTACATGAGTGATTTCTTAGTATTGTTTGGAAATTGCAAGAGGAGAAAAAGGAATCTGATGGCATGTTATAAGAAAAGATACTTTCCCACCTTTTTTATTAAAGCAATTTAGCATTATAATAGTAACCCTGGAAAAAAATAACAAAGAGCTTCTTTTCCAGAGATGTAGAGCACTTGGACATTAGAGTTTTTGTTTTGCTTTGCTTTTGTTTCTTACCCACTTTAGTTTAAATTAGAATCTAAAATGTCAAACATGATTATAAATTCATATGCCCATTTGAAAGCATTATCATCATAGTACTTCCACCTCTTAATATCCACAGCATTCTTTTCAGTAGAGTTTGTGTATTCCCTTTAGTACAATGAAATCCACGTGTTCTTACATTTGGGTTTGGAGTCTTTATTTGAAGGGAAATTCTTTCCTTTCTTTAAAATACTGTTTTGGTCTCTCTCACCTTTGCCTCTCCTATCTCCAGCTCCTTGCTTCAGGCTGATTGCAGAAAGAATCTTAGCAAACATTGGTTTCAGAACTTAGTTCTCAAATTCAGTAAGAGGCATGCCTTGGTTCCTAAAGGTTGCAGTGATGTGGCAGCGATTTACACTTCAGTGTACAGCAGAATCACACAGGGCGTGTTAAAAGTGCAAATTCCTGAACCCTTTCCCTAGGGATTATCACTAATTATTGGATTGGGCCCATGAATCTACATTTTTAGTCCACTTTCTAGGTGATCCTGATGGAGGTACTCCAAAAACCTTGAGTCTGCCCTTGAACATACAGTCTCCTATATTTTTCTGTTCTATGAACATCCTTTCTTGCATTCTAGAAAGCATTGTGCATTGGGGCAACTAATTGTGCCTAAAAATGAACAAATAGCCAAAAGGATAAATTATGTGGGGATACTGTCTTCCTCAGGGTTAGAAATACTTACGACTCTGAGTTGTTACAGCAAAAATTAGATGGTCAGTATGTTTTTGTGAATATCTTCCCCACCAGAAGAGGGAAAAGAGCACTGGACTTTCCCAAAATAACTCTTAAGTTATTTTTTTCAGAATTATCTGCAATGCACCCTTGTGGAAAAAT